TGTGTGTGTGTGTGTGTGTCACGCGCGCATCTAATAGTGAATTGTAAAGTGTAGTCGTCCTCTGTCAGTACAGGCTTTACAGAGTACATCATGCCTAACTTACGTACCTTATGCTACGACAGCAGCTTAGTTATTTGAATGGCCCAAGTGTCACCACCGCCAAGTTTAAATCTCTTGTATTTTCTGTTCATTCTCATGGTTGTGTGTGAATTCTGCTCGTCGCCTGCACAATTTTGTTATATAATCATATACATACGGAAGGTTGAAAGCTGTGTGCAAGTTGCGGACCGCTGTGCACCTTGCTCAAAACCTTGTTTTGCATGTGCCCAAATTTTAAGAGGTGCGTGTCTGCTCCTAGTTCCCAGACGGGGCTGATATGAGCAGTGCCTTATAGAGGGTTAGTTTAATGTCTGTACTTAAACACTCATTTCTGAATAAGAAGTATGTTGTAATAAATGTTCTGAAGGCCTTGGCTTCAATCATTTCTATGTGAAGTCTCCACATAATCCCCTTATCAAAGATCACGCCCATATTTTTTACATAATTGACATAGGGGATATTCTGTCCATTCTATGTAAGATGAGCCTCAGGGGGCCTAAGTCTATGAGAAAAGTAGATTGTCTTGAGTTTTATGTTCATTTATTTTTATATTCCGGTGCTCACACCATGTCTCAATAGCACTGAGACCTCGCTGCAGCTGTCTGAGAATATAACCCTCTTTGGGGGTCTGTCGCATATATACAGGTGTCATCAGTAGAGACCCAAAGGACACCAAGTGTTTGAGGCGTATCATTTATATATCATCATCACTCATGGAGCTGAGCCCTTCTTGAGAAGCTGCCAATTGTGCAGTTACTCAAGAGCTTCCCAGCATTTTATGGAACCCAAAGGTTCATTACCATGTTTACAAGCGTCCTCCACTGCTCCATATTCTGAGCCAGGTCGATTATATATATAATGTACAATGTGGGGGACAGGACAGAACCGTGTGGCACCCCTGCTTTTATATCCCTTGGCGTAGACATTTCACCTTTGACTGAAACTGAGTTTTCTCTGAGAAAGGAAAGAGCTAATAGGCTTGATTAAACTAATCGAAAATTGTAATGTAGATAATTTATGTAGCAAGCCAATGTACTATGTTGTATCAAAGGCTTTTTAATATCCAAGAATACAGCAGCCGTAGGCCTGTTATTGTTGAAATTTAGGGTTACATGGTCTGTAAGCCTCATATTGAAATGTCGTGCTATGATGGGCATGGAAACCAAACTGGCTTGCATTAATCAGGCCCTTTCCTTCAGTGTGCCTTTGGACTATTTGCAGGATAACGTTTTCAAATAGCTTGCCTGTTAAAGACAAGAGGCTAATTGGGTGTAAATTTTGAGAAAATTTTGGGTCCTTACTGGGTTTCGATAACTTTATAACTTGTGCTTCCTTGCAAGGCTTCGGAAAATGGGACAGCCAAAGGTAGTGATTAAGTAAATGTGTCAGGTGTACCAGTGGTCTTCTCGGAAGATGCCTGAGGCATTCATTTGGAATGCCATCAAGTCCACAAGTCTTTAACAATGAATTAATGAATTCGTTAATTTATGTACGTCACAAAGTCTTACTTCCCCTAATGCCGTTCCGCCTACAGATGTGAGCAAAGCATGGACTGCAGTCTCCACTTGTCGCACATGGTTTTCATGACACAAGTCATGAGTTGTGAATTGGTTTTCTAAATAGTCCACAATCACATTGGCTTTCTTGTCCGGGTGATATGTTATTCCTAAAGGTCCATGAACAGCAGTTGGTGCCTACACTGTTCCAAAATGGATGTTAGAATTCAGATCTCCTGCCAGTATCGAATTATGTCTAAAGCTTAAGAGCTCAGTGATGTCTGTATCATTCCAAGTGTGGTCTGCGGTCTTATAGACTGCTGCAGGTAGCCCTTCACTATTACCAGCCCCCTGCGGCTTCTATTGAAAGAAGCAGAGGAACATCTACCTGGTTATGGGGAATGCTTTTTCTTACTGCAGCGGCATTGAGGCGGAAGCCTTTTCTACCTGGGAAGTGGTCAGTACCACAGAAGTGGTAATTTGGAATAAAGACTCTCTCATGGGGTTTGAGATGTGTCTCTGAGAGCAGAGCCACATCTGTATATGTCTTGCAGCTGTTTACTGAGCTCAGAGTGCTGCCTCCAAATGTTAGTTGCATTAAATATTATGACTTCGAGCAGCCTATGAACTCTAGCAGCCATTTGGTTGCCTTAAGTTAAGTACCATTTTTGTACTGACTATTATTTTGTCTTTTTTTTTTTTGCATAATATCACTGAGCTGTATCATTATCTGTTGCACTAAAGTGGCTACTTGTAATGTGTCATTAGTCGAACTAAGAGCCTGTACTGACAGACCTGTTTTCTGAATTTCCTGAAGTGGCAGATACTGCTGCATGGGGTGCCACAGGCTTTTCATTTCTGTCTGCAGTGCCTGTGGCTGCTGGTGTTGAGTGACTTGACACAGTGCAGCTGCGTATAATTGCTATGGTGAGTTGATCTTAGAGAAGAACATGATCCCATAGGATCCCTTGGGAGCTCACTTTGCTCTTCTCCTTTGCAGTTCTCCTTTCGCATGGCTACAGCCTCGGTATGACGCTGGATGAGGTTTCCCTCCTACCAGGGTGCAACTGCAGCAACTCAGCGTAGATTCTGTAATCAACTTTTCGGGGCATTCGCTATGCAGGTGGCCACCACCATGGGGGTTGCTTGCAGACTTGGCCAAAGTTTTGGCAGTTCTGGCACTTTGTAAGGCCAGTCTGAGCTCTGTATGATTGTACCTTGATAATTATATGGTTAAGGCTATTCAGCTTCAATGTCTCTTGCGATTTTACGCGGGAGGGTTTCCACGTAGATTTTTCCAGTTGGTGCTCTTCGATTGGTCGCCAGTTGCCTCCCGTTGATGACGTTGAAGCCTAAGTCCTCATGGCTTTTGAAAGTATCTTCTGCTGGGATATCTGGGGGAAGGTGTCAGATTATTATCTTGAGATTTTCAGAATTTGGAGAGAATGTGAAATACTGGAGATTATTTTTTTCTCCAGATATGATTTCATGGCTGAATGGTCCGTCATTTTTTATGATATGAGTTCCACTTTGTGTATTTCGGAATTCATAGTCTCCTTTGATGTGTTCTTTTATGTCACTTTAAAGTTGAATTAGGTTTGTGGCAGAAGTCATCACTATTGGTAGCGGCCTGCGTGATTTTCTGGGAGCCTCCTGCTCCATGTCCATGTCATTAGTTCTGAGTGATGCAAAGAAGCTTTGAGTTGGCACTGCTTTTGGAGTCTGCTTGACAGCTGTGGATGTTGGAATTGATTTGGTGGGCTTCTTGGCCGTATCTGAGGTCTCACTAGAATATGCCTCTTGTGTCTCTTTACTTCTGGGAAGTCGTCATCCTGGGATGTTGATTACAGTGAGTTTTTGTTCATTGCTTCATTCTGTCCAGCCTGTGCATTCACCTTTGGGACATCCTGAAATTCTTTCAATGTTACCATGTACATGCCATAGAGTGCACTGAAAAGCGGCTTCCCATCTAAAAATTTGCAAAATTTTGCTCTGATCTCCTCTGCACTGTTTACAGCAGTTGTCCACTGAGAGCTTTCCCCCACTCTAGCCGGTGTGCATTGGCAAGGGTTTCAATGCCACTGATCACTTCATGTATCTGTTGTACTACAGAAGCCGCTTCTGAGCGCTTGTTTATTATGGCATGGCATTCATTTCAGGTTTGATAGCTCCTGTCTCCAGTATATCCAGAATCCAGGTTGTGGGGTGTCCGCCATCTTTGTGTGCACCCAGATTCACCATTTGTTTGTTGTTTCTCATAGCCGCAACCAGGTGGCATACTTCACCGATACCACTTCTGCTGAATGGGAGTTGACCATGAGCACTCCATGTAACATGATGTTTGTATAAACCACTCTGTCGAACACACGTTTCTTTCAGTTCACTAATTCCAGTCAAGACCTGGTGTAGCTGACTTACCTGGAAGACAATATAGTTTTCTGCAGTTTCAATACAAAATCTACTTTCTAGTACACACAGCAGATAGCTGTAATCTTCTGACTAACTGAACTGACCTAGTGTTTTATTCTCTCCCCTGACCTCCAGAGAAAACATCTTTCAGTTGCCTTTCTTTATGACTCAGCGATGGTTACCAAGAATTGTATCTCCGGGAAACGTCTTTGCCGAGTCGTTGCTTAGCAGCTGATGGTTCATAGACTCTGGTTGACGACTAGCGTGTTGGAGGTACGTTGTCACTAGGCGGCGCGCGAACCGATGCGCGTTGTAAATGCCATGATCTGCACTGGTTGGCTAGCGCATGATTCAGTGTGGGTGGCTCCCACACATAATTATGAACGATTGGGGATTTCTCACCTAACCGAGAAGAAAGAATGTGCTCCATGGTGTTAGTTTAATTTAGTCTTCAATTTTACTTATTACTCCCTTGCACTTTCACCTAAAGTTACTTGGTACTTGTTTCCATCCATTTTATTACTTTTAATTAGAGCATAAATGTTATATGATCGCTTTTAAAGATGTATGAAGAGAATAAGTTTTAACAGTGTATCCTTATTTGATAGAAATCTGGATCTACATTCAATTAATTTCTTTATAAGTTTTCATAATTTAAGGAATGTAATTCTCGGTGGACTTACTCATAATTAAGTATATCTATGCCTAATTACTCATAATTTCATATGGGATTTGTTTTTGACAGTCCTGCATTGGGGTAGCTTTCCTTTCTTTCAATCCATGACCACCACTAAATGTAAGTAACAAACCTAATATTCTCTTTGGTTGATGCTCTGTAAATGATCTACCATTATGTTTTTGACCTAATATCCCTCAGAAGGTTCACAAAGAATGGTAACATGAAACATAAGCTAATGGGTTCAGGTGCAAATTACAGTGAAAGTATAAAGATTACAATTATCATTAATGTGGAATATTAATGTTTTTATTTTTCAGTTGGTATTTTGGCCCTATGTCTCGGCAGGATGCAACAGATCTGCTTATGGGGGAGAAAGAAGGAGGAGTATTTCTTGTGAGGGATAGCACTACAATACATGGGGATTTTGTTCTCTGTGTCAGGTGAGTAAGTCACCTTGTGCAATAACCAGATACTTCACAATTCCATCTGAGGTGGTGTAAGAAGATGAGCAGTCACTAGAGTACGGTTCTAAAATTTTATGCAAAGAGTGTATTATCAACATCATGACCATGTTGTTGTCGTTGTCGACGATGATGACAGCGATGGCAGCAGCGGTGGCGGTGGTGCAAGCTTGAATGGTTCCTCAGTGTTTCTTATGCATTTCAGCAGCTCTTTCAACGTTTTTTTATCAGAACATTAGGTCTTAGGAACATCAGTTTGAATTTTATGATGGTTGCTATGCCAATTTCAGTATTATTTGTCTGAGACATGGCTCAACAATGTGTTATTTTCATAGGTTGCATCCTGTTGTGTGTCACAGACAATATATAATATGTAAGAACTATGGTACCGTCAACACAACAAGTATTTCAGTTATTACACTAGATCTTTATTACTGCAACATGTTTCGGTCATACATGACCATCATCAGGCAGGAATACATATAGTTATTGAAATACCGATATGGATCCTTATCAGTGCAACATGTATTGAATATTAACATAAAAAACTTTGCCTCAGATTGGAGTATAGTTAAAATATCAAATACTTACTTACTTACTCATGGAGCTGAGCTCTTCTGGAGGAGCTGCCAATTCTGCAGCTATTCAAGAATATCCCAGCATTTTATGGAACTCGAAGGTTCATTACTGTGTTTACAGGAGCCCTCCACTGGTCCCTATCCTGAGCCAGATCAATCCAAACCATACCATCCCATCCTGTGTCTCTTTAAGTTCCATTTTGATGTTGTCCATCCACCTACGGCTTGGTCTTCCCAGTGGTCTCTTTCCTTCTGGCTTCCCCACCAATATCCTATACGCATTCCTTGTCTCCCCCATTCGTGCTACATGCCCCGCCCACCTCATCGTCCTTGACTTGATCATTCTAATTATACTTGGAGAAAAGTACAAGTTACATACATTGTGCAATTTTCTCCAACCTCCTGTCAGTTCATCTCTCTTTGGTCCAAATATTCTCCTCAAACACCCTCAGTCTTTCTTCCTCCCTTAATGTCAGAGACCAAGTTTCACACCCATACAGAACCACTGGCAAAATTATAGTTCTGTATATTCTAATTTTTGTGTTTTTGGATAGCAGACGAGAATACAAAAGGTTCTGGACTGAATGGTAGCAAGCATTACCTGAGTTCAATCTCCTCTTAATTTCCTCCTGAATCAGGTTTCGATCTGTTATCGTTGTTCCCAAATATCTGAACTGTGCCACATTTTCAAAACATCTGTTACCTATCTTTATGTCATGATTTTGCCCTGCATTTTGGTGATGAGACAGCAACATATACTTAGTTTTCTCTGTGTTTACTTCTAAACCAACCACTTTACTTGCACCAATTAAAGTTTGTGTGTTTTTCTTTATGGTACGTACCCAGTAGATTCACATCATCGGCATAGGCCAACAGCTGATGTGTCCCAGACCACTGCAAAGTGTAGAACACACCATACACACCAAACATGTATATGCCCAGACAAGAAACATACGCCACATTGCATGTTTCATATATATATGACATATAGCGTGGGAATACCATATCAAATACCCACATACCACCAAACTTGCACATCGTAAGCCACTGATATGTGTTACTATACAGTCAAGTTATAGCACTTTAAAACACTAACATGACTGACACTCATTCATTTGTGGCATTGGGCCTCACATACCAGGCTTATTATGTAGAATTTCAGCAACAAGACCTACACAACACATGCGCCCAATTTGTACACTGTAGCAGGATATACCCTTAATATAAAGTATTTTAGTTGGCATACAGGCCCCTAACCCACCTACATATATATTTTAATACCTTTTAATATTAATTTATATGCTGATAATATACCTTTAATATTTTTAAATAATATTCCAACATTTTATATATAGTATACCTTTATTTATTTCTATCTTTTTATATTTTTAATAATGTATTTGCTATTTTAACTATACTCAATAACTATACGTATTCCTGCCTGGTGATGGTCATGCATGGCCGAAGCACGTTTGCAGTAAAAAAGATCTAGTGTAATAACTGAATATTTGTTGTGTTGATGGTAGCATAGTTCTTACATATTATATATTGTCAACAAGATGTGTTTATGTCCTGATTGCTTTACCACTTTCCATTCTGACAGGCTGTACAGTAATAGAGACTTGATGGTGTTGGTGCTTTAATCACCATTTCCACCAGTTTATACCCCTGCAGCTGTAGCTTTGATTTAGAATCCTGCCCTGAATGTGTATATGTTGAAATTCACAATTTCTATGGCCCAAATTGATGGCCCTGCTGTTTCCTCAGACACCAAACTGGAAGTTAACACAAATTATTGTAATTTCCTTGAAAATATTCTGACAGTAACAATGTTCATGTTATTTTATTACGGAACTTCATTGCTCCTGATTCTGACTGGGAGTGCAGTTTGCCTTGCCAAACTGCCACCATTATTCTAATATAAAAGGGGATGCTTCTTGACTTTAGGCAGTACATAGATGCTGCCCTCGTCTTTGCAAGTAAAACTGTCGTGCAGTCTGTTCCCATGGACTCTTGATTGGTTAAGCCTGATACAAAATCACCTTTCAGGATTGATCTTTATTTGAATGATTTAAATTGTGAGTGTAGTTACAGAAAGGTCGGTGCTGGCACCTATACTTTGCTTTGTAACATACTTCCTGTGTGTGGTTGATCTAGTGTGTATGAAACTGCTGTTAATGTAGCTGTCACCAACCTCAGTGCTACTTTTCAAGATGCTATGAGCAAGAAATTCCCTGTGGCTACAACTGAAAGTCCAAATTCACTTTCTGCTTCTGTAATACCATACAATAATACATCATGAAGAGAAATTGCACATTTTTCATAGCTTCAAAAAGAGATGATCTGATTATTTCGGTAACAGATTCACCTTCTGTTGCAAAGCTTTTTAAAAGTGAAACACATCTGACAGACTTTGATGGTTGAAGTGAGTTGATAAGATGTTAAAGTGAGAATCCCAATATTCTTGTAAAAATGTATATGCTTCGAGAAAGCATGGCTCTACTTCTTTCAGCTAGAGTGGTGCACACTTAGATGAACCTACTGTAGTCACTGACACTCTCACTAAGCATTTTCAATTTGTTTTATTCTGTTTATTTTAACTTTGGTTATGCTTTTGACATTCCACATAAACTGCTTCCTCATAGACTTAATAATTATGGATTTTCTCGCAGTTAGTCTAACTGGTTTCACATTTACCTAACATACAGTCTTACATGCATAGTTCTGGTGCACCCTCATTGCCTTTTGTTGTGTTGTCATATGCACCTCAAGAGTAAGTCATGGGGCCATTAATTTTTAATATTTGTATTAAATATTTATATGGTATAATTAATCATTCAGGATGTGTTCCTCTTACTGATGACCAGAGCACCAGATTTTGATGACCTGAAAATATTGAAAAAATCCAGAAAAATGACCTAAAGGAGAAAAGAAAGAACACTTCGCTTCCATGTTATTCACATTTCAGGAAACATATGAAGAAAAATTCCCTAAAATGGCCAAAAATGAGAAGAAATGCCCTTAAAAGTCCAAAAATTTACCAAAAAATTACCCCCAAAATGAAAAAATGACCTTTAACCTAAAAATGACAAAAAATGACAAAATATTACCTATAAAATTTACATTTCTGTAACCAGCAGCTCATATCAGAGATTTATGTATTTAAGAGCATCGCATAGGATACAAGGAAAAAAAGATGACATGTCATCAAAATCCGGGCCCTGCTGATGACCGTGAAGTTTATGGAGGTATTAAATTGCATAATGACTGTTTACTTTTACAGTCAGATATTTGTTGTGTTCATGATTGGTGATTTCCTGATTTTATGAAGCTGAAAAATTAGAGTAATTTCTTTCACTGGGAAAATGAGCTAAATTATGAGTATACTGTTGGAAATGTTCATGTAATGTGAAGTGGTTACGTGAAGGATTTGGGTGTATCTGTTGACTGTAAACTTTATTTTCCTCATGAGGGTGATTCTCATTTTCCACCATACAGTAGTGTAGTTGGTTGAGGCACTATGCAACAAGCTGGAAGGTCATGGGTTTGATTTCTGGTGAGGTCATTGGATGTTTTTCAATTGACCTAATCCTTTCAGTTGCACTATGGCCCTGGGGTCATCTCAGTCTCCAATAATAATGAGTACTAGGAATCTTCTTGGGGTAAAAGAGCAGCTAGCACCTAAGGCTGACAACCTCATCACCATCTGTGAGTTGATTGTAAAATGTGGCAGCCTTGACGTCTCACAACCCCATGGGCTTTTACAGCCCATTACAGAGTTAGCATTACATTTTTTTATCTTACCATAGACATATTACTCGTGCTGTATTTGCTGTGGCCAGGGCAGGACCTGAGTTTGCGTATGTTGCTCGGAAGTCTGTTACAATTAATGGCTCAGAGAAACTTGAGCACATACAAAGAAATTTTCCAGTAGTTTTTTTTTTTCATGCAGACTCTAAATACCTGGCATCACCACTCAGATGCTCTATTTTTAGTAAACATTTATAATGACACTAAATGCGCTGCAGTACTAGAAAACGTCAGTATTCATATTCCTGCTTGGAACATACATGATGTTACTATATTCACTTACACCCCCAGTCACTGGCCTATAACTAGACGCGCTTCTGCTACTTATACAATGTGTAAATCATTCACTTAAGTCAATGCATGTAAGTCCTTCTTGAGAAGCCACTTGTTGCTTAGCGATTCAAGAATTTTCGTACATTTAATGGAACCAGGAGTTTCATTACCTTGTTCACAAGAGTCATTCACTGGTTCCTATCCTGAGCCAGATTTGTCTACTCCATACTACCCCATACTATTTCTCAGACATCTGTCTTAATATTATTCTCAAATTTATATCTGGGTCTTCCTAAGGGCCTCTTTCTTCTGGGTTCCCAAATATAACCCTATATGCATTTCTCTTCTTCATGCATGCTACTTGTCCCACCCATCTCATTCTCCTTGACTTGATTATTCTAATTATATTTTGTGAAAAGTACAAGTTATGAAGCTTCTCGCTATGCAGTTATTTGAGACGTCCTATTATTTCCTCCCTCTTAGGTCCAGATATTTGCCTCAGCACCCTGCTCTCAGACACCTTCAGTTTCTGTTCTTCCCTTAATGTTTGAGATCAAGTTTCACACCCAGACAGCGCTACAGGCAAAATTATAGTTTTCTGTAAATCAGTAGATAAAGGATGTTGAATAATTGAATTACTGCTGTTACTACAGCTTATGTGGACTTCATTCATCATTTGTTTCAAATTAAAAAGTTACTTTTGTGTCTTCTTCCTTAGATAAATGAAAAACGGGAATGTTGAAGATTTCTGTCTAATGACCCTACAAGTCAGTTTACATTTCTTTGTGTTTCGCCTGATGATGGATACTGAACAGCCTCCAAAACATAGTACTTTTTGGGATTTTATGTTTTAAATCATGTAAAACTAAAGCTATCCCTGTAAGAGGCTGTGGAGACCCATAGGGTTGTGAGACATCGAGGCTTACACATTTTTCTAGACAGTCAGCTCACAGATGGCAGTGAGGTTGTCAGCCTTATGCGCCAGCTGCCCTTTACCCCTAGGAAGATTCCTGGTCCTCATTTCTGTTAGAGGCTGAGTCGACCCCAGGGCCATAGTGCCGTTGGAAGGATTAGGTAAATTGAAAAATCCAGTGACTTAATCAGGAATCGAACCTGTGACCTTCTGACTGGTAGCATTGTGCCTCAACCAACTATGCTATGTGCCCCCTGCTTTAAATAAGGCAATAAATAAAGTAAATATGGAGTGCCTTGGAGTTCTCCATCTTATACAGTTGAAGTTTTCAGCGCGAAGCGCTGTTTCAGATTTGTTGGTCATTGAAGGTGAAATGTGTTGTCACTTGCCCTTATGTTCATAGCGGCGCCTCACTGTTTCATCTCCTTGATATTACTGCAAGAATTGCATGTTCGTATTATCTGCAGGCTGCTTGCGCACAGTTTGTGATGACTGTGGTTCTCCTGCATGAAGGAATATACAGAGTCAAAAGCTTTGGATACAGCAGTGATAATAATCCAACTGTTTTCTTCCATCTACGGCTCAGTCAACATTATCCACCATTTTTGATGATGCAGTCTGGCATGAATGGTCATCAGCATTACTTGCTCTGCCACTTCTGAACTTTTCCACCCATTCCTACTTTCCTCAGAGTAGGATACTCTTATGCTTATTGTACCAGTGTTCTTCTGTGAATGTAAGAGGGCTTCAACCACCCCCTGCCCCCACCACCACAAAACTAATCACAGAATGTTAACTCAGAGACAAAGACACACTTAACACAGCAGCCATCCACGTGATGTTCAAACTTGTTTTACTATAGATTATACGCATACTTCATAACCTTGTAGCATATTCTTACATATTCTCCAAATTTGAAACATTAATATTTACACACAATAATACTCGTACATAGAAAAGTCCCGTCAACAGCACGCCTATTTTATTCTTTCCTTTTTCAGTTTCCCTGTCACAAAGGGAAAGAATAAACTAGTTGCATTGTTGACAAAACTTTTCAATATGTTATTGTATGTAAAAGTTATAGTAATGCAATGGGATGCTTAAATACAATATTACACATTAATGTCCATCACTTTTTTAATAACCCTGATAATATGAATGCCATTGTACGTATTTCAGTTTTCTGATCCTCATGTCCTTCAGAAGATTTGAACCGCAGCTTTGGGAATTTTACTGGTGTTCTTAGTTTTTACTATTCCTTGGGAATAATTTCCTGTATTGTAAGCCCTGTGGTCACAGGAGGTGTAGTAGCTGCTGGCTACAGACTCAATGCTCCATCCTCAGAATACAAGGTCCGACAATTTAATTCCCAGAATGGCTGCAATGTGTCGCTGAGGTGTTGAGTCAAGCAACCTCATGTACCCAAACACATTTGGAGATGTTCCAACTTGCGTTTACATGAGCGACAGAACAAATGAGTCATTTGTTCCCAAGCAACAGAAGTAGCAGTGCGTATCCATGGTATACTGTTGGCGGAAAATTGAGTGACACGAAATTTGAGCAGCAGATAAATGTAAAGTTTTTTGTAAGAATTTGTGAAAGTGCTAGTGAAATGTTAGCCCTATTAACAGTGGCTTATGGTGAATACACTATGAAGAAATTGAATGTTTCTGAATGGCATAGGCGATTGAAGGAAGGACAAGATATGCAAGATGACCTAAGACGTGGGCAGCCAAAAATGCAAAGGACAGATTCCAGTGAGGGCACAGTACAAACAAACGGTGCTGACATGGGAATATATTCGGGGGAAAAGACAACTCTGGCCTAACAGTTGGATTCTCCACCATGAAAACGATTTTCAGAACTGTTTCTGGCAGTGCAACCATCGTCTCACAAAGTGCATAGCTTCAAAAGGAGAGTATTTTGAAGGTGCTAGCAGCCACTAGTGCACAGGTAAGCAAATTGTGCATTCACAGGGCCATTCTGGGAATTAAATTGTCGCACCTTGTACACTCGAGACCTGTCCAGAAAAGGGTAGGATACCTTGTGCACACAAAAGTCAAGAATTCGCGGAAATTTGTATCTTTGCCTCCTGTGTGTGATGCTTGAATACAGATGTAACCGTAACATTTTTATATCAGCTGAATAATTTTGTTTTGTGGTACTTCAAAGTGTTTTTGCCCTTAATCTACAGAGTGCACAGTTGTAATTGTAACTGAATTCTTTCACAGGGAGGATAGCAAAGTGAGCCATTACATAATTAACAAAATCCAGCAGGGGGAACAGACAAGATACCGAATTGGTGACCAGATGTTTCCAGATCTTCCTCAGTGTCTAGCATTTTATAAGTTGCATTATCTAGATACCACACCCCTGATCAGGCCAGCACCACGAAGGGTGGAGAAAGTTATGGCCAAATATGACTTTGAAGGAAGTGTAAGTTTAATTTGAGAACTATAATTACTTATTTTCATCACAGTTTGAGTAGTTACTATTATAAAGATAGTACGGAATTCAGTATGTTCTATCTTTGTTTTGCAAGTGAACAAGCAAATTGTATCTACATGTTACAATATCAAGTATTCTTTTCTAAGTAAACGTTGTTAGATGTGTGCTGTTTTTATATGCAGTCCTTCACCTTCACTGGCCATGTGTTGCTTTTTGGGCTGCCAGCCCTGTAGTACTGAGGGATTTGAAACCCACTGTTTGTGAAGGACAAACTGTTACTCCAAGTAAGAGATAGTTTGAATTGAGGTCTTCTGGACTGTGATGCGTTTATCCATTGTTTGGTTACCAGTGTTTTGGAGGAACCTACTGCCTCGTATTCAGGGCAGAAGATAACTCCTGCAGAAAAGCAAAATCACTAAAACTTCTAGTGTACATGATGTTTTTAAGAACTATATTAAGTGGCTTGTGAGTAGTTTTACACTGTATTTACAGGATCAAGATGACCTGCCTTTTAAGAAGGGTGAAGTGCTGACTGTGTTGTCCAAAGATGAAGAACAGTGGTGGACAGCAAGAAATAGCCTTGGTCAGACCGGTTCTATTCCTGTGCCATATATACAGAAGGTAGTAGAATTATAACTTACTTTTATTCACATTTTATGCTTTAATTTTCTTAATTAGTAGATTGTTTCTGAATTGATTGACATGCTTTGTTGTCGTGGTTGTAGTAGTGCTGATCATGATAGCAACAGCACCTGCTGCAGTAGTTGCTGAACAAGGAATAATTTTTGAGAGCACAGTCGATTTAAATTATTATTATTATTATTATTATTATTATTATTATTATTTGAACAAACTCCGTGGCCTGTAGTCTGCAAGCTGACTATACTGACCAAGTGACTGCCGCATGTCGGCGAAGTTAGTGCCAAATTTTGTGTCATGTGGTCAATGCAACAGATCCCCATGGTCGTTAATCTCGGTTTTCTAGACCGGAGCCGCTATTTCCTTGAAATAACTCCTTAGTTACCTTTACGAGGCTGAGTGCACCCCATTCTAGACCCAGTACTTCTCAGAAAATCTGTTTGCGCCGGGAATCAAACATGGTACCTCTGGATCTATAGCCAGGAACTCTGACCACTAGACCACAGAAGCGGTCATTATTACTGTTATTATTATTATTGCTGTTATTATCATCATCATCAATTCTGTGAGTGACTGGTACATTGCTTTCCATGAGACTTAATATTGCAAAAACACTTGTTGTGTCATACAAAAGGAAAACTAATTTTTTAAATTACAAGTATCAGCTTTGTCATGCTATCATTACACGCACCAGCAGTATTAAGGATGTAGGTGTTTTCTTGGATTCAAAATTATATTTCCAGACACATGTTGATTACGTATTTTCTGAATGCATAAAGTTTTTAGGCCTTATTCGCTCCATAACCTACAGATTTTCCTCCCTGGAGTGTCTGTATGTACTATACTTTACTCAGGTCCAATTTGGAATATGCCTCAGTAGTTTGTGAAACTCCATCACTTGAACTGATGCCAATAAGCTTGAGCACATCCAGCAGAAGTTTGTGTCCCTCTGTTTTTATCGTTTCTTTCCTCGTATTCCATATAATTATACAGATGCCATAGAGAAATTAAGTCTACAATCTTCATATAAACAGAGACATCACCTTGATGCACTTGTTTATGTTTTCCTGGGAGTAAAGTGGCAGGATAGTGAAGGTGACCACTCACCTCCATCTAATTCAGGGCTTAAGAACTTAGCCCCCTGTGATTTTGCTTTGTTCTCCAAATTGAAAATGAAAGTGAAGGGACACAATGTTTTGAAACAGTACTATAGAATGGTTTGACTACACCATCCACTGTGACTCAACGAACAATGAAAGAGAAGCAGCACACCAACAAACACACACTCTTAACCAGCTACATAAGGAAGAGACGTCCAAAGGCTCCAGTCTACCCAATCTCCCATTGATAGAAGGGGCATGAAGACACAAACCTTAGCGATTTAAGATTTTTATTAATACTTTAACTTACCACATTTTAGCTTAATTAAAATCTTTATGTATAAAACTTTGGACAACGTTGAACTTGATACACTATGATTTATGTAATAGAAGTTTCCTCGACTGTTATTATTTGCCTTCTGGAGATGGTCATTAATTGACCGAAACATGTAAAAGCATATATATATATATATACAGGGTGTCCCAGGAGGAATGTGCCAGACTTTGGGAGGGTGTTCCTTATGTTAAAGTATGCCGATATAACCCAAAACACCTATGTCCAAAGTTTAACGATTACAGAGATAATGGCCCCAGAAAAGTGTGGTCTTCACGCGGGTCCACGCACTGTACCTGTCAGCTGGCAAGTCATATCTATGTTTGTCCTTGAGTCTGGTGATTCACACTAGCCTTAAGCTTATGTGCTCCCCTCATGATACGTTGCGCCCGCGTTTTGAATGGGTGGTAGGTTAATTGTGCAGAGTTGCTGAAATGCCCTTTGTGTTTTCACACATGGAGTATTGTGATATGAATTTTGCGGTGGCAGTGCACATGCTGCTGTTGTAGAATACCAAAGGCGTTTTCCCCATCGAAGGATTACATGTCGAAGTGTATTTACGTGAATTCACCAGACATTGCGTGATACTGGTTCTCTTCCGAGTGTTTCTGTGTACTCTGAAAGGGAGGATGTACGAATGATAAACACACGAGAACACGTTCTTGAGATGGTTCAGAGAAGTCCGCGTCTGTCCGCTTGTAGAATTGCCACTCACATCGGTGTATCACGTATGCAGGTGTGGCAAACTGTACGTGATGAAGCGTTGTATCTTTACCATGATCAAAGGGTACAACATCTGAAACCAAGCGACCATGCTCAGCGTTTGGATTTGTGCCACTGGATAAAAGCTCATCCCGAACTGTTAAGCGTCACTTTATTCAGTGATGAGGTGTCTTTTACCTGGGACGGTGTAAATAATTTACGAAATTTGCATACGTGGTCCCATAATAATCCACATGAGATAATGGTAAAGAAATTTCAAAAGAGATTTTCTGTGATCGTATGTTTAGTACGGTTATGTAGTCATCTTATACCAGAATGTGCAGTCAGCCATGTTACGTCAGCGCTTGCCATTCATGTGTCATGCATAGTCCTTGGAACCCTAAGGACAACTATGACATGGCGTGCGAGTATTTTTATAGTTCAATTTAATGGCTTCATGTCACCTACAAGTTAGTTTGATGTTACATACATTATTAACATTATGGAAACCGTGTATTCCTGCCACTTTTAATGTGTATTTGGTAATCAGCAAGTGTGTAACACCAGTCACAGTTTCACATTTCCCTGGCCATTATCTCCGTAACCGTTCAACTTTGGACATAGGTGTTTTGGGTTATATTGGCATACTTTAACATAAGGAACACCCTCCTGAAGTCTGGCACATTCCTCCTGGGACACCCTGTATATATATATATATATTGTCACGCAACGAATAATCTCACACCGTCAAGGATGTAGCGATTATTTATTGTGCTTCGCTTCTATAGTCACACACTTTACAATTATTATCACTTGCAGTATCACAGCTGCTGCATCTACTTCAATATTTCTACTTACTTTTGCAGCTGCGACACCTCCGCTGTCCTTGGCCATTGCTGGATCTCAAGTGTCTCGTTCATACGTGTCTGTCTGGCTTTGCTTCCAACTCTCTTATATAGGTGTTATGCAGACCGAATACCAGACACCATTCCACCTGGTTCCATTCCCGCTGTTCCAACAATCTATTGTTACAACAAAACTTCTGTTGTCCATCTCTGGGGAAACGCTGCTTAATTGTTTCGGCCTTCTCTACGCACGGCTCACTCTTATTGCGTTGCCATGGAAGTACCTACTCCAAACACGTTACATTGCTCCCTTCTAAGGTTGTTCATCCCTGAACAGTCTAACGGTGCTTCCTTTCTTTCGGGTGTCCCTTGGTGTTTTTGCTGGGAATGTGTGCATTTGGTCTTGCCATTCTTGACACGTCCTTCTGCCGTGTTCATTCTACCGCATCCGCCCCTTCCTTCAGCGGTGCTCATCCCGAGCACTCCCGTAGTCCAGAATTTGTTGGTCCCATTGTCTCACGTTCATTCCTCACTTCCATTCTCTCCTCATCCATTCTTGGTGGGGAGGCCGGTGTTTCTATGTTACTGGTCCCTCCTCAGTGCGCTATATCATCTTTTCCATTTCTGAGTGGGTCGACCCCTCCACAGTGTCCAATCCTTGATCATGTCTTTCATGAGGGGTTCCTTATGTCGACGTAACAGCACCTGAAGTGTGGACGGCACTCGTTGACATTGTTGTACCTCCGGGTCTTCTCACTGATTGTTGGTACGAGACTGTGGTGCAACAGTGCCCACTTCTGACACCAGTTGTCACCAGTTGGGAATATCATGCGACAAATAACTTCACGTAGCCTTCAGATTCAATGATTATTGAACTCATTCATCCACACTTAGAATCAGGAATACAACTACAATCACTTGCTGTATCACAGCTACTGCATCTACTTCAATACGTCTAGTGCCTTCTGCGGCTGCGACACCTCCACTGTCCTTGGTTGTGGCTGGATCTCAAGTGTCTCGTTCATACGTGTCTTATCTGGCTCTGCTTCCAACTCTCTTATATAGGAATTATGCGGACCAGATACCAGACACCATTCCTCACAGTTCCGTTCCCGCTGTTCTGACAGTCCGTTGTTATGCAACGAACCTTCTGTTTACCATCTCTGGGGAAACCCTGCTCCATTGTTTCGGCCTTCTCTACACATGGCTCACTGTTATTGTGTTGCCATGGAAGTACCTACTCCCGACACGTTACAATATACAGGGTGTCCCAGGAGGAATATGCCAGACTTTGGGAGGGTGTTCCTTATGTTAAGGTATGCCAATATAACCCAAAACACCTGTGTCCGAAGTTGAACGGTTACGGAGATAATGGCCAGAGAAGTGTGAAACTTTGACAGGTGTTGCACACTTGTTGATTACCAAATACATATTAAAACCGGCAGGAATATGTGCTTTCTATAATGTTAATAATGTACGTAACATCAAACTAACTTGTGAGTGACATGAAGCCATTAAATTGAACTAAAAAATACTCGCACGCCATGTCATGGTTGTCCTTAGGGTTCCAAGCACTGTACATGACACAAATGGCAAGCGCTGATGTAACATGGCTGACTGCACATTCTGGTGTAAGCCGACTACATAACTGTACTAAAATACAGTACCTGCTTTATAGTAGTTGTCCAGAGTGTCCTCCGCCAGCTGCAACACAGTTTTCAGCATGCATCATGAGGGATTGGATAGCAGAAGCAGTGTTGCCTGGATGGTGACGTATGTGTTCTGCCGCTGCAAAAATATGATCCCGCGGTGCTTCTCATGAGTCGACCTTAGTCTCATAGACTAACGTCTTCATGTGGCCCCAGAGGTAATAATCTAGAGGTGTAAGATCTGGCGACCTCAGTGGCCATGCAACGGGCCCACCAAGACCTAACCAGCGGTTAGGGAAGGATTCATCTATGTCTCACATGCTGAGTGTAATGTGGGTGAGCCCCATCATGTTGGAAGTACATTTGGCTCCTTATTGTTAATGGGATGTCTTCCAACAAACATGGTAACTCATTCCTCAGGAAGGCTTCATACGTGTTTCCAGTTAAATTGTTGTGAAACACAAAAGGTCCAATCAACCTGTTCCCAAGCACACCACACCCTACATTCACAGATAATCTCTTTTGGAATTTCATTACCATTATCTCATGTGGATTATTATGGGACCACATATGCACATTTTGTAAATTATTTACACCGTCCCGGTTAAATGATGCTTAACAGTTCGGGCTGAGCTTTTATCCAGTGGCACAAATCCAAACGCTGAGCATGGTCACCTGGTTCCAGATGTTGTACCCTTTGATCATGGTAAGGATACAACTCTTCATCATGTAAAGTTTGCCACACCTGCATACCTGATACGCCGATGCGAGAGGCCATTCTACGAGTGGACATACACGGACTTCTCTCAACCATCTCAAGAATGTTCTCTCGTGTGTTTCTCATTCGTACATCCTCCATTTCAGAGTGCACAGAAAGACTTGGTAGAGAACCAGTATCACACAGTGTCTGCTGAATTCACGTAAATACACTTCGAGATGGAATCCTTCGATCGGGAAAACGCCTTTGGTATTCTTCGACAGCAGCATATGCACTGCCACCGCAAAATCCACACACAAAATGCATATCACAATATTCCACGTGTGAAAACACAAAAGGCATTTCAGCAACTCAGCACAACTAATTTACCAACCATTCACGACGAGGCCGCAACGTACCCTGAAGGTAGCACATAAGCTTACAGCCAGTATGAATCACCACACTCAAGGACAAACATAGATAAGACTTGTCAGCTGACAGTTACAGTGCATGGACCCGCGAGAAGACCACACTTTTCCCGGGCCATTATCTCCGTAACCGTTAAACTTTGGACATAGGTGTTTTAGGTTTTATCAGCATACTTAACATAAGGAATGCCCTCCCGAAGTCTGGCACATTCCTCCTGGGACATCCTGTATGTACACACACACATTTGAGTCACACCGAATGGTGTAGTGAAATCATTGTATAGTATTGACTAGTGTGATGGCCCGGAATGAATAAATTTAAACTTTTTGAAACAGTGTCTGACATCCAAAAGGAATCGCAAGTGGTACTTGACCGCATTAAAGAAAATGACTTCCACAGTGCTTCTGAAGCATGGGAAAATTGATGAGATTGCTGTATACTTTCCCAAGGAGACTATTTTGAAGGAGATGGCAGCCAAGTTTGAGTAAATTTAGCCAGCATTTCTTTTTTGACCTACTCCATGAACTTTTTGATAGCACCTCGTATGGATGGATGGATGGATGGAAGTACAGACTGAGCAAACTTAGTAGTAGGCACTCTACCAGATTGTGAACAAGCCTAAAAAGAGGCATGTGGATAAAGTTGAAATTCAATAATGCACACATGGATAATCAAGAATATAATTATTATATTATATTATAATTATTATATAATTATATAAATCCAATTGTTGTGCAGTATTCAAACTAGTTTTAGTCAGATGGATGTATTAATTACCTAATAAGACTTTAATTGCTCCTGATTGTTTCCTTTTTTTATAATGTTCTTTGAGTTTATAGATAGTATGCCAGGAAACTATGAAAACTGAGTTGATACTATGAATTGAATTGCTCAGTAAGTAGCTAGAATTGCAACAGTTTGCAAGTATAAACATAATGGATTAATATTAAAAGTAATATATAGGCCTCCACTGTAATCTTCCTCAGTTTGATGATTATAAAGTTTTTTCTACTTAATATGTCAGTTTCACGTATGCTCTGTTTCAGTATGAAGATAATCAACAATGTCTGAGTGATGGTCACAGACCAGGGTCAGGTGGTGGCACAGTCAGTCATCAGCAGGAAGCTGCCATACGTAGGACCAATATTCAGGTATCTCTCAATGTATGGAGTGGTTAGCCATTCTGTTTAATCCTAGTTTTCTAAATAAATATTGGTCATAGATTTGAATCTGTCTGTATATATCTGTTCTAAATAATAATAGAACCAGTGGCCTTAAGTGGTTCACGTTTTCATCTTTTAGAAGAAGCCATTCATTGACCTCTGTATATGAGGGAAAGCCAGTAACTAGATCACAAATGGATATACAATGTAAAACATGTGATATATGAACTGAAAGAAACATGTACGAGGGTCGATCAATAAGTACCTGTGTTAGGAATAAAGACACAAGTTTTTCACTTTTTTTTTTTTTTTTTTCAACGTAATCTCCTTTCAGGTCGATACACTTTTCCCAACGTTTCTGCCATTTTTTTAACCCCTCCAAAAAATACGATTTGTCAAACTCTTCAAAATACGCTTCTGTCTCGGCGATAACCTCCTCGTTTGGTTTG